AGTCAGCTGTTGAACAGTCAAAACTGCGAAGAGATGTCCGACTCGATGGACGCGTCGACTCTGAGCCAGACATCGGTGGTCCAGAAGTTGACAAAAATGCCAAACAAGTCATACAATTTGCGGCGAAGAGTCGGCGACAGCGCATCCAAAGCGGGCCGACACTCGTCCCCAGCCGTGAGTCGGACCACAATTGACGACTTGCCCGACGATTGTCTGCTCGATATCTTTGAAAAGTTGGATACGATTCAAGACAAGTGCGCTCTTCAGAGAGGTATGTGTTTTACAATCAATCCTTTGTTTACTTTTTTTCATAACGTAATCCTTGCGTTTGGTTTTGTCTTTCGCTCATCGGATCCATTAGTGAATAAGAGGTTTTACTTTTTGGTCAACCGTTTACTGAAGGCTCAGAAGACGTTTACGGTTGGCTCCACTTTTGGCGACAACAGTATGTTTTTGATTATATTTGTTATTGAATGAGATATTGAGACCATTTATTTGGTGAATCAGATGAACAAATGCTGACACAAAGAATCTGCCGAACGATAATCAAGAGGTGTCCGAATCTGGAGACCTTCAAAATGCCCGGATTTTATACCAAAACCAGCACTAATACACTCGAAGGTTAGTTTCACAACACATTGAATTTGTTTACCATTTGTTATCTCATTATAACGATTGCCACTACAGAGCGAATCGGAGACAAAGAAATGTTTTCATTGGGTCGGAAGTGCAAAGAACTGCGCGAACTGGACATCTGTGGCTGCGGTAACGTTACCGAAAGGGGTATCAATTATATCGCCGACGTCTGTCCCAAACTCGAGAAGTTGTCCATCAGTTTCTGTCTTCAAGTGTCGGGCGCTTCCCTTCAGAAGTTGACGAAGAATTTCAGGACTCTTTCGATCAACACTAACGATATGACACCTGTAAGTGATGTCCTATTATTCATGATCTCTGGACTTGTATTTAAACAATGTTTGATTTATTTGTGAACATCACTAGCCTTTGGTTGATTGTCTCAAGTCATTGAGTAAAGGGGACGGCAAACACATTACGGAACTCAATGTTTGCGCTTATAATGAACTCAATTCGCAGGAAAACATTCTTCAGATGATTTGCACTGAATTCCAATGTCTCAGAACTCTTCGATATTCAATAGTCTCAAGTAATTGAAAGTCAAATTAGTTTCTAAAACAGTGTATTAATTGTATATTGAAATTGTATTTTCACAGAAGACTTAGTGAAATATGGTTTGTTTGGTTCGCTTCGGAATCTGCGAGAATTGGTGTTTGATTGCAATGCACTGAATCTGTCGGATCACGAGATGCTTAACATAATGATGGGCTGCAAGGACTTGAAGTCGATATTCATCCGTTACGAACACGGGAAGGATCACAACACACTCACCGACTATTCGTTGCGAAAATTGCCGCTCTTTTGCCCCAATTTAGTGAAATTCAACTTTCAATCCAAAGAGACGGGTTTGGGTGTGACGGACACCACGATCGAGAGCTTTAGTCAACTCAAGCACTTGGAGTTTCTCGGGTTCCGCAACTTCGACAATATCG